ACGGGTAATTATAATAATCGTCTGACCGCGCGCGCCCGCGGAACGACGGAATCTCATTGTCGACGGAAAAACTCGTCGTAATTCTCGGATCGACCGAGAATCTTCCGAGGACCCGAACTGGCTTTTTCATCTGATATTAACGACGGTAATTGTCGCTTTCTTCGTCGACCTGCGTCCGATGACCTGCTTACATCGGATCTTTTCAGATTCCTGTTCCGTGCGTCCCGCTGTGTGCGGAGAAAAAAACTACCACTCTATTGTAACTGTGATTTTTGTATCGGATATTTGAATGGACTTGAGTGTTTTAAACTGCTTAATGAGATAAATAGGAGAAAATTAAAAAAAAAATTAAAGATCAATACCCTCGACTAATCCCCGCTCGATTAAATTACAATGTTATTAATATTATAAATTTCGTTTTTTATCGTCATATTTTATTTTTGTTCGTTTAAGTCGTAGTCGAGACCAGCGCAGATGTTGAATTCAGGTGAGAACAGCGGGACATCAGTCACGACATATACATTATCTATCATTTTTTAACGATCTGATCGCTAATTACCTGCTTAGCGAATAGAATATATCGTTTCGACAATTTGCGGTTCGTGTTACCGCGATGCGTTTCACACAATGCACCTAAGGGAAAATTATGACACGCCTAATAAATATCCATGTCCAATACGGGGCACGATAATATCCGATGTAGATTTGTCTTATTCAATTTCGAAGCGAGCTCGTATTAAAGATGAATATCAATTAAATGGCGGCGAAGGGGAATGTTTAATGTGCAGCCCAGGCGCGCAGCGCGAACGCGCGTTACCATTTAATTTACGACGGGATCGTTCGCTTTGGACAGGATTGATTTATCAAAATCACACGGCGGTGCAATCGATCGAATGTGTGTTAATGGCGATCGTGACTGAATTTAATTATCGTCTTAATAACCGAGCACGAACGTGACGATTAAGCGACTGCATTGTTATCGACGTGGCGTTGCGTAAATTATTTAATCGCAGTAATGGGATTTTCAAATGCGACGATTAACGTCAGCGTAATTCGACGCAAATGCACCCTTTTACGCGCGCCGGTGTTATTATGCCGCCGGCATCGGAGACGCACGCAGATCAGATAAAGTCTGAGAATCGCAATTAAGAAATGCAAATCGCGAAATTATTCCTATTAAAACATTTATGCATTATAATCGTCGGGAATTGTATTTAAGCGGCATTATAATTTGCTACATAGTGCCTAATTAATTTATTTCAAAAAAGCTTGAGATAATTTATGCAGCAACATTCATACAATTTATTTAATCTAAAGACTGTCTATTTTTTTTTTAATTGATATAACAAAATGTGAAATTTAAATCAGAAATTTTCGTAAAATTGATTCTCTTTCGAAAAATTCTGTCATCTCTCTAGATATTGTGTTATCTTTTTGATAAAATTTTTATAAAAACTAGGAAAAACATCAAGCTATATTATATACTTATTGTTGTTTTTCATTACGATTTTGATCCAATTCGATCATGATTTCGCAAAATAATTTCGATGCGAACCAACCTTGGAACGGATATCCGCCAAAGATAGGCCTCATTCCGCTGGTGACGTCCATGCCGGCTACGATTTCCGCTGCGTCTTATCCAACTGTCACAATTATTCTCACATACACTGAAAGGGAAAACCACACTCTCGCCACTCTTGAACTCGAGAAGCGCCCGTCCTTCGCGCTCGCCACTCGTCCCAAAAGGAAAAGGCTCTTCGTTTTCGTTCAGCATCCAAATCCAAAAGGTGGAATGATCTTGGGTCCCAGGTAGAAAACGGAAGATCGAGTGGGATTCTCGCGAGAGAGAAAGATAGATGAAAAGGGAAGAAGAGAAGAACAGAACGTGAAAGAACGAGAGGGCTGTGTCGGGCGGAAGGAGCAAATAAAACGCGGAGTATCCGCGTACAGGGGGTGAAAAGTTGTTGTCGGCGCGAAGTTGCCACGGTTGCCCTCGTACACGGGGGAGGGCGACGTCGCGATCGGGCACGTTCCTGAGCCAGGAACAAGAAACGAATCGGCAAAGCACGCGTTGCTTTCGTTACGAGGGGTACTGCGGCAATAACGTGTCAGCTGTGGGGTACCCGTGTGTCCCGTGTGTCTCTCCCTCGAGAGAGAGAGAGAGCGAGGGGGTCTCCCGTTCGAACGTAGCCGCGGAGGGTAGAAGGGGGGCCCCGTGGTCTCTCCTTGGGACTCATGATACCAGTGGGGTCCCACTGTTGGCTACGCCCTGCCACGTGGTTGGCAAACGAATGCTTCACAATGGGCGGCTCTGCCCACGGGGCCGCCCACGGAACGTGTCGTCGCGGAGGATTGCATTTTCGCGTGGTATCGCTGCTACTGATACGTATATGGTATCAGAGACGATAAGCGAAGAGATTACCGGTCGTTAAGTGAACTTCAAATGGAATGCGCCTCCGATATGTGACTTTGAATCTTGGACATAATCTATCATCAGTGAAGTAATTTACTACACTTAAATGGATGAGCATTTTCTTTTAACAATAATAAACTTAAAGGACGAAATGACAGATTCCTTTGATGCATCTTTATTTCTTCAATTTTTCCCCCTGTGACTTTTTTCGAGTATTTTTTTTCAATAAAAGATATTTTTTATTTATTATACACCGTGAAAATTGAGCTATTACTTCTATTAATTTTTGACAATGCGAGATTTTTTTCTGAATCTATCAAGCCAGACATTCTCGGTTATGAGATGCTCCTCGTTGGAACTTGGAAGTGCTGACCATCCATGTGCTCGTTCGAAACGAAGAGATATTTATGACTGTCACTGTCCAGGAGTAAAATCATGATGAACGCGTAATGGACCTGGTATAAATTTTAGGACCTACACGAAAGACCAACTCTATAAACGCATTCGTATACCTGCTGTAAATCTTTTCTCGCACAGTAGCGAAATCCTGGCAAGGCTTGTGAGAGCGCCGGGGGGTCTCGTGGAATTCAACCTGAAGATATTCTGATGTCCTTTTCCTTTTGGAGGATTCTCAAAAATATTTGTCGCTGCGACGAGCGCAGTCACGAATATACAGAGCTCACCGTAGGTAGCTGAAAATATTGTACATCTCACTTCGTCGGTTGAAGTATTAAAGATTTACGGCTTATCAAAGAAACTCAACTTTGGAAAGATTAGTCCGGATATTTTTTATTCGGATTAGTCAAGTAATTTTCACATAATTGACACTAAAATCATAATAAAATAATTTGAAAATATATAAATATTTCTGAGATATTTACAAGCTGATTAGACCGCAAAGAGAAAAAAATATAAATCAAGAATTACGCATCCTTTACTGATTACTGAAATTTTGCAAATCTGAGGTTGAATTTTCTAGTGTAAATTTTTATCTAATCAAATGTGAATGAGGTGGTATCATAAATTTGTAAAGAAATATTTATAATTTATATTACAATTTGTAAAAATATATCAAGTTACCAAATAAAGATTATAGAAAAATATATCCCAGATTGCATTTTCAAATAATTGCAAAAATCGATAAAATATTCTTTTTTCTTAGATTTTAATATAGTATTTCATTAATGTTACATATGTGCTCTTCATGTCCAAAACTAAACAATTTCACAAAGCAATTACATGTTGAAATATTATAGATTGCTACTCTTTTATGTTTCAGTCGTAACATTTTCAGGTAATCCGTCGTTAACTTTTCGATCCAATTATATCATATAATTTTAGGACAGGAAGTTAAAAAAATATTGCCTTTTCGCCTTTTGCTAACCGCTTCTTTCATCTTTATACAGCCGCTAACACGAATTTTGACAAATTTGTTATGCTACCGACAGCATCTCGGAAAAAATCTTTTTGACAATTAACCGTGGGAATGGAGCGTGACATTATAAAGAAAGACGTGTTGCAAAGTTGAATTCGTTCCGACTGTTTTCCGGGCTAAGGTAGACAAAGGCACAGCTTCAGAATTCCGTGACATTATTTTTCACGTATTGTCTAGGAGTTGGTAAAAATCGCTCGAACTACGGTCAAGTGCCACTGGTGAGTTCGGCAACACCATTGATTTTGGCATAAAAAGTTTTTGGCTCGATTGGTCTCCAACGATAAGGTCACACGGTCGAAAAAAGAAAACGTAGGTGAAGCGAGCGATGTCAGGTAGCACGCTCTAACGCGAAAGAAATTGATTAGTCGATTTCGACGTCTCATGAGAATTTCAGGACCGGCCGATCCCTTTGTCGAAGAACCAGACGATTTTGTCCATATCGGCGTCTCGCCTGAAACCGAATTTGCTGCTATGGTGACGCTCGTTTTTCACCCTCTTTCTTTGATTCTATCGATCAGCAAGGACTAATCGACTCACTATGTTTCGGTCATTTTGTATGGCCAAAATTAAATTTAAATTCCTCGCCTCTGAAACCGCAGAAAATAGATTTATTTTCATAATGACCGTGTTTTTTCCTCACTTCCTGGAAGAGAATCTTAAAGTTCAATTTTTCATATTTTGATTATTACAAAAAAATTGAGAATGACAAAGCTCAAAATAAATAGAGATTGATTTCTGTATAACAAATCGATGATAATTCATTGAAAATCATGAAACGTCAAAAAAAGCATGCGTTTCTCAAACGATCGGTCAAGAGCCGATATTACAACAGATGTTGCGCGCTCGAACTTTTATATTCCACACTATAATTCGTTTTCTGGGCGCGAGGAGAAAGCGCGAGCTGTTGCACAGATAAGAAATTCTGTGGATATAACCGTTGAAATCGATCGCGGAGTTAAACCACTTGGCGGAGTTAAGTTTGTGAAATAAATAGAAGGATTCCACTTCCGCCGGCGATTAGACATCGATCCTCGCGAGGAACACCTGTGCGATCACGTAATCACGAGACGCACGGACTCGCAAACCGACGCTTCTTTGCGTCTCTCGAGAGACGCAACGCGCCGCGGCCGAGGCGGCCGAGGGAAAGACTCGGGCATTTAAGGCTCGACCGAAAGGGAAACGAAGGGAAAAAAAGAAGAGAAAGAGAGAAGAATGGGAAAGGAGGAGAAAGAAGGAGAGGAAAGAAGAGAAGACAGGAAGATGAAGAGGAAACGACCGAGCGGGAGAGGAAAGAGGCCGGAGCATTTAGGGATCTCCTCGCGGCGGCGTACCCGCTGCAGTTCTCGATTTCCGAGGGCAGCGCCCACTAAACGGCCGCATTAAAAATTCTAATGGAGAAAGGGAGCAGGGGAGAGACGGGGTGAGGAGTCCGCTACGTATATCCCAGCTTTCTCACCTAGTTTAACATAACAACGGCCCTGCGACCTGGCGTAGAAAAGTCCGAAGAAATTCGTTCATCGCGCTCACGCGCGTGTCCCACGTGTTATATACGTACACGTTCGTCGGGTACACGCGTGTATGCGTGCACCGGGATGCGTGTGCCCCGCTTTTGTGTATTGGTAATCGGTGCGGGTCGCGCCGCGGGCGTCTTTGACAACGAGACTGATGTCGGCGTATCACTCATCAAGATTTATCGGGACTTAGACTAATTGCCGCTTTTAATAGAAATTCGTGCGCGCCGGGATCGACGGGACGTTGGCGGAGCGAGTGTCGGATCCGGAGAAAAGAGGGGCCCTGGGCCCCTCATCAAAGGGATGCCCCGAAATTGTTTTGCGCTTCTTCGCTCGAATTCGAGTAGGTGGACGGTGAACGAGAGTGACGATCGATGACCTCCGAGTTATTTCTTCTCGATAATTGAATTGGAATCTTATTAGGCATCTTGAGACACTTCTAAGTGTCGGCGCGGGCACAATGAAGATGAATATTCATTTCCTGAATGAGATTCGACAACTGCGACATCGGATTCACACGCGAGGAATCATAGCATGAGCGACACTATATGAAAATCTATAGAAATATATACATAATTGATATTGTTTATTTTTTTATTATTATTGCAAGAGTGAATTAAAGTTTTTTTGTTTATTTTATTAGGTATATTAAAATTTATATCTTATTTTTATATTACTTTTATCTTCAAACAATCTTTATATCGACTATAGAGATAGTGAGATAGTGAGAATTCGATCTTTCGGAAACCGGCATAACATAAATAAATTATGGTCCCTGCGACATTGCGGGTGGGAAAAAAAACGTATTAATTATGCACATTGTATGGGGTGTATTTAACATCAAGGAAAGTGTGAGTCTTGTGTCTCCCTCCTGCAGGGTTACCAGCTGAATAGACGAAAAACTGTGGTTTTATTTCGGGCCCCGTGTCTTTCTTTAACCGCGGCCCACCTCATTAGACTACCAAATGCTCCAAATATCTTCCTGATCACCTTATTGAACGGATGAATGCATCCTTTGCATAACTTTAGAACTGGGCCATTGCCGTCGGACGACCACCCGGTTCTTAACGCCACGGAAGAAAGAGACACTTTTTTAAATGCCTTCCGCGAGTGGACAGAATTTATGCGGAATTCACTGTTTGCCGTGGTTTGACGCGTTCTCCACGACGGGATAAATTATTGAAGATAGCCCGCGGTTCTCCAAGAGCGCGAATTCATGAGCTTCGATAGATGTGCAATACGGAAATGGTTGGGCCATTCGAATAGTCTCAACTATTATTTTAGTTTTTAAACGGATATGTGATATTTTTGAAAAATGCTTATTACAAAATAATTATCTAAAGATCGCGAGCTCAGAAATATCACTTTGAACTAAAATATTGTTCAAGATTTTCAAAATATAGATTAACATAATAATACAAAATAATAAATAGAAATGATGATTTTTCTGTAATTATTATATTAAATAGTATTAATGCTAGATCATATTAACTGCTTGCATTATACTCGATTATTTTTACTGTTGCAGTTCACCACAATAGATGTTGACCCATCGAGAATGCCAAGTTATTAGCAAGCATCAATGTGGCGGCACAGTAAAATAAATAAATTCGCAGACACATTTGCCAAAACGCCATAATTGGTTGAGGTCTGGTTTGGGTCATTTTGGTGATCGCCGGATGACGACGAGCGGTTGGTCTTGGAAACGCAGTTTTTTCTGCAGAAACTGCCGCACGGTGTAATGCGCGGCGTCACATAATTTACGTAAAATTTGGCGATAAGTTCTCGCCGCAGAGGTGGCCGGATCTGAGGCGCGGCACCTTTGAGGGAATTAGTCTTATTGGGCACAAAATTGGAACAGAGG